GGTATGTGATTGTCAAGCAAGTATTTTCACCTTGTCAGTTACCTTACAAAATAATAATTAGTCATGTCTGAGTTCAACCAAAGCTGCCTTTAACTTTAGCTCTGCTCCAAAACCTAGTGACCTACCTCATTGCCTGCCTAATAAACAATATACAAATATCACTCCCTACATGAAGCAAATGATTAACAGAGACAACACGAGGAGAACAAGATTGTCTTAAAAAGCATAAATAGTCAGTTTTAAACTGACTAAAATGTTATGTTTTTCTTGATACTTGTCTTAATTGAATGAATTTTGATTATACAGTATTTATATATTTCAGTATTTCTCTCCCCAAACAGCAAAAAAAGGATATATATATATAATGTATATAATATATTTTATGTATATAATGTATTTACACAGATATGTTTTTCAAAGTTTTAGTGACTTATTTCCTCATTTTTGTGCATATTTTATATCTTTTTTTATATTTAGTCCAAAATCTATTAAAATGTGTTTCAAGACTGGAAATGTATTTTCTTGCCCCTTTGAAAATATATTTCCCGAAGTTTTGCTGTTTACAACATCTATTCGTCATATTTGAAATATATTTTAGCCAGAACAAATAGATTTTTTTTTAACAGAGCTTTCGCAGTGCACTCTGGGATTGCCTTCTACATGAAGAATAAGTGTGATGCTGCCTTAAGGTCCGTTCAGATCAAGAAAAAAAATTATAAAGATAACTATAAGGATAATTATATTAGCGTCCATGCCAACGCTCTATAACGTTCTTCTTATTATCAGTGTGTGTTGCAGTTACTTGTTATTAAACACAAATTTGGAATTTTTGTGTTTGTCTGCAAAGTAGACGTCCAGGCATCTTTCTTTAACCCACACAAGGAGTTAAGTAATGATTACATGCGAACATCCCATTTCCAGTCAGGAGAAACAGAAAGGCTATTCTCTCTCATCAGCCTTGCGCTCAAGGTCAGTTTCGTGTACGCTTCATACTGACGTCACCGTAGACTCTAACATAGAAAACTGTATGTTAATGTGTGTGTGCTTGACCTATTTACAGCCTTAGCAGGGGATCAGAAAGGTACCTTATTCACTGTATGAATCAACATCATAAACATGGACAGGGGGCTGGAGTGCTTCATTAAAGATAAGTACATTTAAACTGATGTAGTGAAAATAAGTATTAGGCCAACACCAATTGAATGAGAGCATGACTTTAAATCAAGCTTTATGTAACAATAAGAATGTATTAAGTTAACAAGTTTTAAGTCATTTCACATCTGCACACTATGGAAGTCCATTTCTACCTAAGAAAATAAATATGAAATGATTAATTGGAAAATAAGAAATTGGGTGAAAAAGGTATATTTAAGTTAAATGAAAATAATAAATCAAACTTTTTGTGTGCAAAGAAAAAAAAATTATATCTTCTTTTTAACAACTATTTTAATGATGTCCTTACTACCTTTCTGGGCCTTGAATGTGTCAGTTGCGTTGCGGTCTATGCAGGGTCAGAAAGCTCTCGGATTTCATAAAAAATATTTTAATTTGTGTTTGGAACGACATGAGGGTGAGTAATTAATGACAGAAGTTTAATTTTTGGTTGAACTTAATTTTGAGAAAGTTGCATCTGTGCGACATAAAGTTGAAACTATGATGAGAAATAGTCTCAATTTTAAGAAATGAAGTAAAAATATATGTGAAATATAAAGTCTGAAATGTGCGAGAATTGTCTCGAGAAACAAAGCCACATCTCAATAAATGAACTTTTCCACGACATTCTAATTTATTGAGATGCACCTGTAGTCTCAATTTTGACAAAGTATCTATTGCGCAAAATAAATTTGCACTTACAAAAAATCGTCTTAATTTTTGAGAAAGAAATGTATGTAAAGTTGCAACTGTGAGAACTAGTCTAAATTTTGAGATATAAAGTCACAATTGTGAGATGTAATTGTGAGTGTCTATTGTGCGAAATAAATTTTACACTTTATAAAAATTGTCTTATTTCCAAGAAACAAAGTTGTTTTTGTGAGATATGGACCCACATTTGGAGATTTGTCACACGGTTACATACAAAGCCACTACTACAAGAAGTAGTCTCTAGAAATAAAGTCACAATTGTGAGTTGTTGTTTTTTTGAGGTGGAAACAGGCTTTCCATAGCAAGCAAACATCACCACATGAATTCTGTTGAGTGAACAGGTTGTGCCATTGTTATGTGCTGTAGTATTTGATTCAAGTCCCAGATGGGCCTCTCATTTCCTTTAGTTTAGACCCCTACTGAGTGCGTTGCTCTTTAAGTGCTCTTTGAATTCATTGTTTTGCACTGTGGGCACTGTGTGACACGGCAGATTCATCATGCTCGGCGGTTTATTTCTGTGTCCCTGATTCTATTATGCCAGTGAATCCATCCACTGTAGAGACTTCCCATCCCCTTGAGTCCATATGGTGGATTTTGTCTCAATCCAAGCATCACTATATCTCCATTGGAATCTAGCCCATCTTGGAGGAAACTAAATCAATCAGGGCGATAGCCTTATCAGGCCAGTAAACTCTTAGCCGCCACACCCCTCTGAATTCGTGTTTATGGATGTGATGTGCTCTAACTTTTCTTATGACTCACTGAACTATATTGTGTTGGCTTTCCCTCGGTTGCTCTCAGATAACGCTTAAGACAATACAGCTACCGCAGAGGCAGAACACATGGGGTTATGAGTATAGGACTGTTTGCTCAAGGAAGAAAGTGTTCACTTAGTGCTTTTTAGACTGCAGCACTTGAGGAAGAGGAGGAGGGTGGGACTTCCTTGCCTTGTGCATGGAGGCACTGAAACTTGCACCAAGCACACATTTCTGACAACAAAACAGGAAAGGCACAGACCAGTTGGTTTGTTTGTCACAGGTGCTTAGCTGCTGAAGATAAGCCTGAGCCAAAGTGGAGCCGGTCCTCTATCCTTCAATGCAACAATCCTGTTCCTCAAAATTTAAAACTTAGTGCTCTTGTATTAAAAACAGCCACACCCAATAGAGACTATGATAAACTTTTTTTTTTTTTTAACTATGATTGTACTTCATGTTTTACTAACTGATCATTGACTAATTATGTGTGTGCATATATATATATATATATATATGCACACACATAATTGTATATATATATATAGAGAGAGAGAGAGAGAGAGAGAGACCAATGTTTGTGTTCGTCATAGTAGTGGGGGTTATGTTATATTACATAATTACATTCATTTTAAATAAATGTTTCAATAGTACAATTTAGACAGACTATGATAAACTTTTTTTTTTTTAACTATGATTTTATTTCATGTTTTACTAACTGATCATTGACTAATTATGTGTGTGCATATATATATATATATATATATGCACACACATAATTGTATATATATATATAGAGAGAGAGAGAGAGAGAGAGAGACCAATGTTTGTGTTCGTCATAGTAGTGGGGGTTATGTTATATTACATAATTACATTCATTTTAAATAAATGTTTCAATAGTACAATTTAATAATATAATTAAACAATTATGTTATTAAATGAGAACATGGAGTATTTTAAATCCTGATAATTTTAGCTTTTGTAATGACTGTCAAAGAACATAATTCACTCTGACTCAAAGTTTGACAAAGTGTATGGATGCATATCTGAAAAATGGCCCTGTGCCTGAAGCCTACTCCACATAAATCACAAAAGAGGGGTGTAGTGGAAAAAATCCAAGAGGAATAGCCCTGCTCCCAAGAGTCCCTAATCAGCAAACAGAGTGGTTTCCTGCTTTTGTGAGATGTGGTTCATTAATGGCTGACAACCTTTCTTTTGCACATGCACACTGACACGCAAAGGACCCCCACTACTCTCACACATGCGCACAGTGGATCCAGATACGTTTGAATATAGATTCACATATAAGCTAACGCAATCATTTGACCGTTTATCAACCTTATCATACATATGCTTGTGAGAGGCCATACATTACGAACACTCTAAGTTAAACAGGGTTGTCTAAGAAGTTCTTAGTATGTAAATATTTGCAAAGCGCCTTATCTTCATGAGCAGACCCTTAACACTGATACACGTCTGCCCGTGTTTTCGTAATTACATTTCTTACGATAAGTACTGAGAATTTCAACTGCAGAAGACTCTGTAGGCTGCTTTTATACGATACTGAACACATCTGTATAAACCAATAGTTAATTCCAGTAAAGATTCCATTGAATGCTCCACTGGACATTGTTGCATTTCTAAAAGGGAGGGTCTATAAACTACCTCCCAAAGATTGCGGTGCAAGGCCACCACACCCCCCTCTTACTTCACTTTCTGCCATTCACACAAAGCAGGCCTCTATTGAACATTCTGTCAGGAGAGGAGACCAAACGCTAGGACATTGAAGTAGCTATTTTTCCGTGAAAGAAAAGCAGGAGGGCGGGGAAAACGGACTAGAATAGAGTAGACAATAATTTACAGGACACTGCATGAATAAGCCCTGGCCTGAGCATTAAGCAACTCTTATTTCCACTTTGGAATAAAAACCCCTCCAAACATCCAGATCTTGTTCAAAAATGCCTTTATTAGAAGTTCTATGGAAAAAAATAAAAAATAAAAAAAAAATATATATATATATATATATATGAACAACATACAGTACAAGTTTACGCTGCACACTTTGTATACATACTCCAACTCCAGCTGACGTTCGTTTATTACATTCAGTGTTGCTTTACTTCATCTAAAAAGTTAAAGTAATAGTTATTAACCAACTACAAAACTTAATATCCCCAGTCAGCATGTCTAGAGAAGCACAGTTGAAAGGCAGAGTATCTTTCATTAGGAATGGTGCGTTCAAATGTTCTAAAAATAGAAAAATAAACAACGAAATAGCATCTCACTCACCATAACAAAGGCATCTTGATCTATGAGCTACATTCAATTCGATTGGCTTTAGATATACACCAAAGCAACTGCTTTATTAGGTTAAACTATGTGGGATCTTCAACCCCAGCAGGCACATATTAGCTAGTTATTAACCTCTAGATAGGAGAGTGCTACATTCTCTGGCACTAGACTGCAATCGTCACGCAACTGTGTGCAAATGGACACTTTATTTGGTTGTCGTTATCGTTGGTAAAAAAAAAAAAGAAAAAAAAAAAAGAAAGAAACAGTCATACTCGTAGGTGTGAAATCAGTTAGTTCCTTATGGCCATAAAGACCTCATAAGATAGGCTACATTCTACAAATGCCCATAGATCCTCTGACGCTTCCCTCCCTCCTGCACAAGAAATCACATCGTGACCTCATCAGACGCTCCCATGTTTTTAATACACATACACACACAGTAAACAAAATTGAAATAAATAGCATACAATCTTAAATTATTTACCCATTTACAGTAAAATATACGAGTTAACAAAAATATATTATTGTGAGACAAACCCAATGGTTTCCAGATTAATATTGGCGATCAGAATTTAAACAGGAATATAAGTGTATTGCTTTAGATTTGATAAATACCACATACACTCAATTTATCCTTGAAGGCAATACTTTCACATGACAATAAATAAGTTAAATAGATTTCAAAGCATGATGCAAAATGCAATGACACCACACAGCTTTCAAAAAAAAATCTGCAGTGACATTCCATGACCAACTTATGAGTCCCAGTTCTTGTGCTCTTACACCACTTCCAAACTTATGGAATGTTTTCCCAAGAGTTACTTCTATGTAGGCCTTTTTCTAGACCGTTGAAGCCATCATCTTGGTAAGGAAAAATGAGAAAGAAGAAATATAATATAATCAGATCTCAATCATGAGACAAACACTTAGAGATAACCAACGGCTGAGACTGATATTTGACCTGAAACTCATGTTGGCACTACTTGGATAAAAGGCTATAACAATAATAGCAAGTCAATCGTCCGAAATCGACAGCCTGCTGAAGATTGGCAAACGTCTATTTGCGTCCATACTGGGCGACTCCGAGCCGCTGATTGTGCCAGAGGAACAGCAAGAGCCACTCAGGTACCCTTCGGGATCTGAGAGGGAATCCGGCGGGCTTGGTGGAGAATCGAACACTGGAGACTCTGAGAGTGGATACATGGAGGGAAAGTGGCTCATTTTGAAAGGTGGCGACGGGGGGCAAGCGTTGGTCTGGATGTTACTGTACAAGCCACCGCTGGTCTGATGGGTAAAAGCACTATGGGTCTGAGGGATGATGGGGGCAAGAAAAGCCTTAAGATCCTGATCGGGGAACGTGAACGCATTCAGACAGGGTGAACTGGTAGTGAGTGTGCAGGTGGGCGGCGGGGGCGTGTGTGATGTTGGGTTGTCAATCAAAGTGGACTCGTTGCTGCAGGAGCTGGAGAAGCCGGAAAAGCTCAGGCTGTGGTGCAGCTTCGGTCTTTCCCTCAGTCTCAGGAACGGGTTTGATGACTCTTTCTCTTCCAGGACACCAATCTCCCTGCTGAGCCTCAGGTGAGCGTTACACGTAGCAGCCCTGCGCTCATCTGCATTGTGAATGAAGTGGCAGCGAGGGCCGTATGGGCAGAAACCAATAGTGTGGAATGTGCGACATGGCTCCGTCTTGTACTTCGGGTGGCGGGACAGGTTTCTCAGTTCATGATAGCCGTGAGCGAACTGACACTTTTCCCCGTACTTGCACGAACCGTTTTCCTCAAAAGGCCGGCAAAGTTCAGTTTTGTAGCGGGTTGAGTTGATCTGAGAGCCGGGCTTTTGTTGAAGGATTTCCTGAAGTTGTTGACTGCGTTCCCCCGTGTCACTGAACGCACGGTCTCGGCACTTGTTTTCTTTATTCATGAAGGCAGGTGTTGAGCTCTCGAAACCGATCTGCAGCCTGTTGCTCATGTTGAAGTCCATGTGGTTTGATGAGTTACTCCTGAAATAACCAAAAGACCTGTTGCTGTTTGTATTGGAAGCAGCAAATGGGACCCCGACATTCCTCTTTTCCAGCATATTGTGGAGATAGATTGCATTTGAATTTGGGACTTTTTCCTGAAAGAAAACAAACAGAATTTCTAAGCATGGATGTCAAATAAGTTTAAGAGGCATCACCATTAGTTTAACCAACAATTAGCAATAAAATACAGGAATGAAAACACTATTGTACATGACCATGAGGTGGCATAAGCTATAGGAAAGTATAATAAAAAATATAAAAGATTTTGAAAAAAAAGTTACATTTGGTAAATGGCAGAATGACTGTTAAATGACTGAATCAAATTATCATCGTTAATGATGGAAACTGTGTATAGGTTTTAAATATGTATACTAATTTAAAAATAAATAAATATGACAAGACAAACCCCATGCGTTATGCATTTCTGTGTTTGTAGTGTTTTATTTGCTCTGTGGGGTTAAAATTGTATATGCCGTCCTATATTTTTGAAATAAGATATTTAAAAGTGAAAGAGTGTGGCATGTTGTTTTGAACATATAATTAAAATCACAAATTCATTCACAAAACCTAAAATCAAGGTTTTCAATTGATGTTACAGCTTATATCACTACTGTGGTACGTTTGTCACAACAGACCTCCTTGTACTTGACAATTTGAGTCTAAGAAATGGATTTCAAAAACTACTTTAATTTGTAACATGTAGCATATATATATATATATATATGTGGTTATTATATCAAAGTTTGTGACACATAACGCAAAAACCCCGTCTGTAACAGAGTTACAGAAGTTGAAACAAAACGAGTTACAAGACTCCCGGTCTCCCAACAACGCGTTATTATGAAGACTAGTGAGTATACACAGAGCTCTCATGTTACAAGTTTGCCAGCGCGGATAAATTGAGGAAACAAACAAAGATCAACAAAATACTAAGATAAGCTTAGAAAAAAAAAACAGAAGTGAATAAGTCAAATATAAACTCTTACCCTGTCGAAATCATATATGGAAGACAGCACCGAAGCAGACATTTTCTATAAGTGAGTTCCAGTTTAGGGGGGAAAAGTTTTCGGACCGAGAAGGATCCTTGTGTATTCAGAGAAATCCACGGCTGAACGAAGTTTGCCTCTTCAAACGGAGTTGGAAAGGCGCTGGAGTTCTTTGGAGTTGAGCCGCACAGGTTTCGGGGAGTGTCATACATGGGCAAAGTTTGCACATGTGTATAAATGCGTTGCAGCTGTTAAGGGCGGAGCTCGACAAAGTTTCAACAGTGCGCTGCCTGAAGCCCCGCCCTTCCCGCACGTGGTTTTGGTAACTCCCCCAGACTTCAGTAGCCCTAGTGCGCGCTGCCTGCCTCGAGACAATCAACACTACATAAATTCAACTCGGGTGCTTGAAATACGATTCTCCTCTCCAACTCCTCTAGTTCTCTGCAGAAAGTATGCCACTACATTCTTCCTTTTTAAGGCTGATTTTTAAACAGTATTTCTATCTGAGATACGTCCTGTGAATAATGCACCACTGACTGCATATTGTTGTTTACGGATTTTTTTCATAGCCTAATATAGGCCTAGTGGTTCTCGAGAACCTCAGCCCTGCACATTTTGCATTTCAGGTCTTGCAGCCTCTACAGTGCCCCCTGTGTTGAAATGTGATTTTACATTATGATGGGTTTTTCAAATTTTGGAGTAGATTATTAACTCTCTTTATGTGGAATTTAACAGACTAATGTTAAGATGAGTACAGTTTTAGATTTTTTTTAATTTTATGATTCTGAAATAAGGCTCATTCTCTCAGAGGCTGTATTTATTTGATCAAAAATACAGTAAAAACAATAATATTCTGAAATAGTGTTACCATTTAAAATAGCTGTTTTCTATTTTAATTAGTGCTGTCAAACGATTAATCGCGATTAATTGCATCCAAAATAAAAGTTTTTGTGTAATATATGTGTGTGTACTGTCTGTGTATATTTAATATGTATAAATACACATGCATGTATATATTTAAGATAAATATGTTGTGTATATATATATATATATATATATTATATGAATATAAATTTATGCATGTAAATACATGTAAATATTGTAAAAAAATATATACTGTGTGTGTATTTATATATACATGATAAATATACACAGCACACATACATATATTATGTAGACAAAAACTTTTATTTTGGATGCGATTAATCATTTGACAGCACTAATTTTAATATATTTTAAAATGTAATTTATTACTGTAATGGCAAAGCTAGATTTTCAGTATTATTACTCCAGTCTTCAGTGTCATATGATTCTTTAGACATCATTCTAATATGCTGATTTGCTGTTCAAGAAACATTTCTTATTATTATCATGTGTTTGTGCAAACTGTGATAAAAATTTTTTATCAAGTTCAAAGCAATCTGTATTAATCCGACACTAGTTTGACTAGTAAACCCATTCTGTTATATTCATAATGGGTTCAAATTTAGTCTGGCCAACTGGTTAAATGCATGCATAAAAATTTAATTGAGTGAAAACATTATTCGTTTCCACACTGAACTCATTGACTTATGGAAAGAAGAGCTGCCTAGTACAAGCCGTGTTTGTGGGATCCTAGTTCAGTGGCTATTTAAATTCAGTCCATGTGAAATTCCCATCACTTTAAATTGGCAGTTTCTCTTAGCAGTCCTCACCACACTTGCATTCCAAATGTAGAAATGATTAGACCCGTGTATTATGTAATATGTTACATGAGTTACAGGGCCATCTCCTTTTGTGTGATTCAACTTGTGTATATAAACTAAAGATTAACTGCTCATAGTGGATAGGAAAGTGGAAGAACACTAATCATAGATGCAGTTCTTGGCTACAAACCTTCAATTTAGAGCTCTAAATTACACGCAGAGTGCAAGCCTTAGATCTGCCTTGGTCCATGATGGACAACTGAATCAACCCACCGAAAAATAAAACATAAAAAGAAGAAGAAAACTCTCAAACAAAACTCTGTCCACTGAAACCACTCATCCATTACACTGACTCCAGTTTTCGCTGAGCTGCTCCGATCATTCCAAAACATTACATCATTGCACAGAGAGGGAACATCGCTACTATGGCCAGAGCGTCTGCACAGGACTGTACACTGGCTCCTTTGTGATGCCCACAATGTGTGTCCAAGGCAACCACTAGGTAGAGAGGACGTCCCATAAGGGAATGCTTCTTGTCTTCTTCTCGACAACACATGGTAATGTTGAACATTATTTCTCTGTCTGTACTGTTGTCACACTGACTCTTTGAAGATGCTGCTGCCAATGTCTGCTGGAGGTCTGTGTTGTGCGTATCATATTCTTTGCTGAATATGGACCATTGATGTCTCATGAAAGCAGTGTCAGGTTTGGGCTCATGTTTTTGCCCCAGGATCTTCCCTACAGGCCGTAGAGCATCCAGAAGCCATGTTTGAGGTCTGCTCTGCTTGTTTATGTACGGTTACACCCAGAGCTGAATTTAACCCCAGCTTCCATCTGCTGCAGCACCCAGGGCCTGACGGAGATGAGACCGGTTTGGGTCGGTCTGTGCCGCTCTCGCTTGCTACTAAGCACAGCTTGCTCCTATGTGTTATTATCGTCAGAGGCGTCTCCTCTGTGGCAATATTCTTTTTCACTCGACAATTTTCTTTTAACTTTTTTTTTTATTTTGTTTTAGCCAGACTTAATGTCATTTTTATGGTAAATATGAAAAAAAAATTAAATAAGGAAATATTTAATGAGGAATGTTAAAAAGGTGGAAAATATGTCATACTTTTCTTTCTCATTTTAACTTGTATTACAATTTTTTATTAGCATTTGATCAAATTTTGCCACTTTATTCTAATATAGGCCTACTCATGCACCCAACCTTGTTTTCAGATGACATTTTGGGAGATGACACTCTAAACTGGTGCTTTTCCTCCCTCCTCGTCATGCCACAGAGTTGGTATTCTGGGCTTCAGTGTGCCCTATTGGCCTAGCCACAGCCCGACAGCCTTTCATTACACTAGCCGAAGGAGGTGGCCTGGACATCCCCATCGAAGACACCATCACCACACCACAAAGCGTGCCCAGCTCCGAGCTGTTCCCTGGATACATCAACAAGAGAGATGAGAAAACAGCCGCTCTGTTTGTACATCATTTAACTGGCAATCATCAAGGTAACCACTTCTAAATCTAAAAGCTTGAGGGCTGTCTTTGTTGTAGCATAATTTGATGATATTGTGGTGACATAAAATCACCATTTTGCTGTGATTATTTGTGAGGTTTAATTAGAAAACAATAATAATATGCAGGTATTTGATCACGTTTACTGTCATTCATAAAATCTGAATTGTTATTTCAGCCTGACCTATTATAGATGGGCTTGTGATGGATTGTTCATTCATCCAGGGTGTTTTCCAGCCTGTGTTAGAAGTTGATCCGGCATCCCTGCAACCCTACATAGAACAAAGCGGTTTGGAAACTGGATGGATGGATGTCATGGCTGGAACTACACCGCCCCCTGCTGATCAAATAGAACTTGCTCGGCAGTCCCTTCCTTCCACATTCTATAAAAGTATGTACTTTAGTAAATTAGTGACATACATAATATACAGTTGAAGTCAAAAGTTTACATACCTACACCTTGCAGAATCTGCAAAAAGTTAATTATGTTACCAAAATAAGAGGGATCATACAAAATGCATGTTATTGTTTATTTAGTACTGACCTGAATAAGATATTTCACCAAAAACATGTTTACATATAGTCCACAAGAGAAAATAATAGTTGAATTTATAAAAATGACCTTGTTCAAAAGTTTACATACACTTGATTCTTAATGCTGTGTTGTTACCTGAATGATCCACAGCTGAGTTTTTTTTTTTGTTTAGTGATAATTGTTCATGAGTCCCTTGTTTGTCCTGAACAGTTAAACTGCCTGCTGTTCTTCAGAAAAAATCCTTCAGGTCCCACAAATTCTTTGGTTTTCCAGCATTTTTGTGTATTTGAACCCTTTCCAACAATGACTGTATGATTTTGAGATCTATTCAGTCACACTGAGGACAACTGAGGGACTCATATGCAACTATTACAAAATGTTCAAACGCTCACTGATGCTCCAGAAGGAAAACAATGCATTAAGAGCCGGGGGGTGAAAACCTTTGAACAGGATGAAGATGTGGACATTTTTCTTATTTTGCCTAAATATCATATTTTTTCATTTAGTACTGCCCTTAAGAAGCTACAGAAGATGGTTACATGTTTCCTATGAGAGAAAATAAGTTAAATTTACCCTGATCTTCAAATTCAAAAAGTTTTCAGGCTCTTAATGCATCATTTGCGTTTGAACCTTCTGTAATAGTTGCACATGAGTCCCTCCATTGTCCTCAGTGTGAAAAGATGGATCTCAAAATCTTACAGTCATTGTTGGAAAGGGTTAAAATACACAAAAATGCTGGAAAACCAAAGAATTTTTGGGACCTGAAGGATTTTTCTGAAGAACAGTAGGAAGTTTAACTGTTCAGGACAAACAAGGGACTCATCAATATCACTAAACAACAACAACAACAAAAAACAACAACAACACAGCTGTGGATCATTAAGGTAACAACACAGTATTAAGAATAAAGTGTATGTAAACTTTTGAACGGGGTCATTTTTATAAATTCAACTATTATTTTCTCTTGTGGACTATATGTAAACATTTTATGTGAAATATCTTAAAAGGTCAGTACTTAATAAACAATAACATGCATTTTGTATGATCCCTCTTATTTTGGTAAAATAATTCACATTTTGCAGATTCTGCAACGTGTATGTAAACCTTTGACTTCAACTGTACATGATTAATTTAATGAGTGAGACTATACCAGCTAATTAAGCTTTGCGTTGTTGTAATGTAATAATAGGAAGAGTAAAATGTGTATAATTAAAGAGGTAATGTCTGTCTGCAGCTACAAGTTGACAATTTAACTTTAGGTTTGTCAATTTATTGCATTTAAGAGTCAATTTTACAGGAAGATTTTGAATTTATCAAATGATTACATCTTTGATTCTGATTTATCTGCATGTCAATACTATACAGTTCACTAGAGGGCAGTATGGCCATATTTTACATCAAAATGGCTATACTTGTGATGGCCACATTTCAGTCTTCACAATCGAGTGAAACGTGTCGAAAACTAACTTATGAGAACATTTCCTGTGGTCTTTAATATTTGAAACGAAAGTCTTATTTGAAAAGAATATCTCTTT